ATGCGATTAACTCAAAGAAGTTGGCGTAAATAATGTTTTTTTTTATATTATTGTATTTTGTCTACTGATCGAAATAACAGGAAGTTAATTCTGCTAAATGCTCTCTTTATCAGAAATGTTGGTAAAAGAGCAGATAGTTCACCGGAATTTAAGTGATTACTGCCCATGGATATCTAAAATACATGAAGGATTGCAGGTGCATTACCAAACTTAAAAAGCAATGGGAAAGTAATCCAAACTCTGTTACCATAAAGTAATAGTATGGAGACTCAATACTCTTAAATATTAGAGTAATAAACGAGATGCTTACTAGTTCTCATATGCCATTCAAATTTAAACTCTCAAAGCGCATCTTTCGTAACGTAGACTACGTTACTTTGCTTATCTATCGTCTAACTACCGCTGTGTAATATTATAATGTTCGCGTTCTTCACAGATCGACCCTCTTTGATTAAGCTAATGCCTATTGGCGAGGTATAACTTTCCACTAGATCAGGCCTTCTCAAACTTTTTTATAGTGAAAAACTTCGCAGACTATTAAATTGAATTAATCGCAAAACCGAAACCTTGACAGACAAGTCTACTTTTAGGATGGTTATATTGTTTATGAGTACCTGTTGAGTAGTTAACCGTTTGTTGTTTTGACCTGTTTTATGAGTACTCACCGAGTTGAGTACTCATAAAACAGGTTTTGTGAATACAAAAAAAAATATTTTGTAGTAGCTATGTAGTTACGTAGTAGTAAAACATCACAATCTTCATTAATTTAATCTCTTAATATAATTCCTCAACCTAAAAATATCTTACGTTATGAATGAATACTTCATATTACGATTGAGCATCATTCTTCTAGCACGGATCGTACTTTGGGAAACCCTGCACTATATTATGCACTGGCTGCTTATTGTGGCGTGATAATGAACCGAAAGTCACCGCAGGCGATATCTTTTTCTTTGGAAAATGCATCAATTTGTGAAATTTTAAAAACGCGTCATATTCTCAGATCTATACGAAAGAATTTGATGTACTAATAATAAGCACCTGGAAAATCATGTATTTTGAAAATAAAAAATTAAAAAATAAAGAAAATGATCTGGTATAGAAAAAAAAGTAAAAAAAAATAAGTGTGTAAATGATCGTGATACGACCGCGGCCGTCTGTTTTGGGGCCCGGTTTACCGACCGAGCTATTATAAAATTTTTTTGCGGCGAAATTTACTGTCATATTCGAATGATATTTTTCATTCCCTGAAAACAGGGATAAAAGGACATTTTCTAAAAATGAAACCTACGTAGATAGATTTTTCGCCCCCGAATCTACGCACATACTAAGTTTCATGAAAATCGCTGGAGTCGTTTACGAGATTCCGATTATTTATATATATATATATACAAGAATTGCTCGTTTAAAGGATAAGATGTTACACTTCAAGAATGCCCGGTTTCTGAAACACTGATCATCGTAGAAAGTAACTAATCAGCTGTCAAACGGCTTGTCAAATGTCATTTGAGTTGCCAAAAGGATGTTTAAACTCTTTAAATTGTCATTTTGATCAATTCAAAGAACCTTCCTTTCCTAAGGACGTTTTACAAACATAAATTACACGCAGAAAAACACCCAAATGCGAAACAATTATCTGTGGGGCACACAAATAGTTGTCCCGTGGAATCGAACCCACGACCTCCAACGCCGAAGCCAATGCTTTGGCAACTACGCCACGGATGTACTACTGTATGACAGGTATACAACCAGCCGCGTGAGGTTATAAAAACGTAGCCAACTTAACAACATGGTTTACGTATTCTAACAAAGACACTTATATGGAACTCGCTTGGGCTGGCTTCGCCCGTTTTTCGTTTCAGTTTTTTATTATACACCAGAATGCAGATGGTAGAATTTTTTCCTACTTACTTATCGTTATATTTTGGACATTTCATATCATATATTTATTGATTATAGCCTGTCTGATTATTGTACAGTTACATTAAAATCCATTCAGTATTTTATGCGTGAAAGAGTACCAAACATCCATCCATACATACAAACTTTTGCATATATAACATTAGTAAGGATAAGGACAAGAGAAAACTGCAAATGAGTAGTACTCCTAAGTTAGTACGTTCTGTTGTCAAAAATGATGTTAAGGTAGCTTGGGCCAAAAGCTTTGCTTCATGATAAAAGTACCTTAAAATCTTAAGACTAAAATAACAGATTATTTTGTAAAAGCACTTAAAACTATTATGTTTGCCTGAGACCTATTGCTTGTATAGACAGAATCACACTTTGGACCAATTTAACATATGGAACCGAGATAGCTTAGTGTCCGGGCGCTAACTTTTATAAATGAAACTAATTTTACGGATTTATCGCGTTTATTTTTAATTTTAATTCCCGACGTTTCGAACCCTTTACAGCGTTCATGGTCACGGGACAGACTGAGGTGTTAGATGTCTGATTGTCATAGTTAACCCGGGCTACCGTCAGTTTTTGAATTATTAATTTTGTGTCCGATCTATGCAGAGGGAGCTAATTGTATCTTGTCTTGCAGTAGTGGTTCGTTTGGGCCTAGATTTAATTTTATTGATGACAGGATCCCAAGCTGATGGTAGTACCCAACCTTCTTCTCTATTGAAATTAGGGTGTTTTTTAATTTCAATAGCCTCGCGAATCATCCTTGGGAGGAATCGGTGTTCTTTTGCAAGGATCTGTGGTTTGTCAAACCTGATGTAGTGGTTGGGCCTATTCAAAATGTGCTCACAGACTGCAGACTTGTTCGATCTATTGTGTTTTATGTCAGCTATATGTTCTTTCACGCGGGTTTTTTTGCTCTTTTCGTTTGACCTATGTAAGAGAGCCCACATTCACAGTCAAGTTTGTATACTCCTGGATCTTGCAGAGGGATATTACACTTGACAGATGGTAAAAACTGACTAATCTTCTTCAGCGGCTTGTAGAATGTATTAATTGAAGCCTGCTTTAAGATATAGCCAATCTTGTCGGTGACTCCTCTGACGTATGGTAGAACAGCAGGTACTCGCTCCACTGTGGCTGGTTTCACTCGGTCACTGTGACGTAGGCGCGGTGCTCGAAGCTTGTTGTCATGCAGAACTTGCTTGACATGTTGAAGCTCAGCGGCCAGGTTTTGTTTGTCACAGATCCCTTGTGCTCTCTGAAACAAAGATTTACCCACGGTAGCTAACTGGGATGGATGGTGGTGAGAATCACCGTTTAGGTATCTATTTGTATGGGTTGCCTTCCTATACACAGTGTGACTTACAGTGTTATTTGGATTGCGGATGACCAAAACATCTAAGAAAGCTAAAGAGTTATTATGCTCTAATTCCATAGTGAATTGTATTTTGGAATTTACTGAGTTAAGGTGATTTAGAAATGCATTAACTTTACTTGTTGGTAAAATGGTGAAGGTGTCATCTACATACCTCTTGTAAAACCTTGGATAAATGGGAGCTGTGCGAAACGCCTTCTCCTCAAAGTCTTCCATAAATATGTCAGCGACAATGGGAGATACTGGGCAGCCCATTGCTACACCATCTATCTGTATGTAAAATTCCTCCTTCCAAAGCAAATAGCCGGATGTTAGGCAATGTTTAAGTAGTAATGCATACTCTTCCGGCATGTTATTCTCTTTTAGCTTTCTTGTTACAATTGAGATGCAGTCTTCTAATGGTAGGCATGTAAATAAAGACTGTACATCAAACTGACCATTGTTTCATTGTCAGCAAGACATAGTTGTTTTATCTCACTAACAAAATGGTAAGAATCCTTTGTGTATGCCCTTGTGTGTCCTCTCAGCGGTGAGAGAATTCGTACTAGATGTTGAGCCAGTCTGTAAGTTGGTGAGTCGATCTGGCTTACAATAGGGCGTAATGGTATGTCTGGTTTGTGTATTTTAGGCAACCCTAAATAACATCGGTAAGGAAGATTTAGAAGGTATACGACAAGATATTTCGTCCTTATTACGTCGAAGTTCGGTACCGAAGTCTAACCTCCCTAAAGATGAATTTAACGCGTTAAACAGCTTACGCAACAACAAAGATTTAAAATAATTGGCGTAGGAAAAAGTAGTGAGAAAACCTGCATATGTTTGAAATAATGATTAAAGAATAAAAACGTAAATCCGCGATATGGGTCTGTGCCATAATATTTTCTATGTGGAGAAGGCTTTCGCCCAACAGTGGGACATGTCTTTCACTTTACATTTATAATATCCTTCATTATTCTAACACATTTCCCTTGCATTATTTTTAATAAAAAAAATGTTTTACAAATTTATTATATTTATTTTAAATACTATATAATACTTGAACATAATAAAAATAGATTAGCTTATCACAGCTATGAATACTGCAATACGTTGAAGATAAAACACGTCACAAATACAAACCATAAATGAATTCATAAAAGCTTTCGTAATTAGTAACTGCGGTGGGCATAATATAATAACAGGGTGCCATGTAAATATTTAACACATAAATAAGCAATTTTTAGCTATAAGAAATATCTAAAGTAAATTTATACAATTTCTTAAGATGCAAAAACAAAGTCTTTGTTAGAAGTATGAAGAAACTAAAGTATGAACCGTAACAACATAATATTACCTATATACATGTGATAATAACTTATTTCATCACAATATAATATTAAATACAATTAAATATGAAAAACAGTATTTACAATAATCATTTTCTTCTTATTTCACGAATGAGAATATTTTATAAATAATGAAACAAATCATAACTAATCAAACGACTTAATTTCTTAATAAGAACAAATTTAAATACCGAACGTCAATCTATTGCAGCGCACTAAGTCACTCTATTCCCACGAAAAGTGGTATCTCCTTAAACTTTAATTTCACGACAACAAAATTAAATAATTAAATCAATAAACAAAATTAATAAAGACATTAATCACATAAACAATAAATTATTTAACATTGCTACAACTAAACTATTTATTAACTAACAATTTGGTATTTAGCTGGTGTTGTCATACGGCATGTAGCTGTTGTAGTCGGCGTCGTATGCCCTCCTGTATCCTCCATGATGACCGTGTTCGTGTTCGTGGTGCTCCTCGTGGCTGTGGGAGTGGTGGTGGGAGACTTCGGGTTTGGTGATGATTTCGTACGTGGTCGATTTGTGGCCGCCGTGACCCTTCAAGCCGACCAGTGCGGACAGGAGAAGTGACATAAGAGCTGTCATCAGCGCTTTTCCCGCCAAAAGTGCCAGCGCGCCTAAAGCCGCGGCCGCCAAAGCGCCTGTAAGCGAATGCATATTGAAATCTCAATTGATTTTATCTCGATAATCTACATTTACAAATAATTGAAATCTCAATTGCTTTGTTAAAGCCTATTTTTATTATTTACAGATTTTTTTCTCAATAATCTACATTAATAAATAATCAGTATGACTAAAGACTTATAGTTTCATAATAATGTTGATTACGACTATACGATGCAATATTACCTTTCGTTTGTAAAGTATGTCTATACTTATGTACACAAGTAAGAAGTTGTACTTCTTTAAGTGCATCCTAAAAATCTTACTTTCAAAATTTTTCTAAATGCACCAAAAGAAGTATAACTTCAAGTAACTATGACAAATGATCTTAATTAACAATCTCTCTCATTTGTTCTAAAAAAGATCATCATATTTACTTGTTAATTTGTTTGTTCTTTGAACATTAAGGATTAGTGATATAAGATGTTGGTCATTGATAAATTACCATCATCATCGTTTGAAGTAGCAGTTTAGTAATAGCCCTGGAGCAGTTTAGTAAGCAAACATTTCAGGCTAGCATATTTTCTTAAGACTTTTTGGCGGTTCTCACAATGCTCCTAGCTTTGGCAGTACGAGCACCTAAGACATCTCCTGACTGTATTCACCTTTCATCATCAATGCGGCAGCTAACAGGGCTCCACCGCCGCCTCCCTTTCCGCCACCCAGGCCCCCGCCACCGCCGCTTTTCCTGCCGACGGACTCCCTTTCTCCCTTCGCCATCTCCAAAGCTTCCTTTGACGTCTGCGGGTCCAGAAGCTTGTACCTCAGCGAGTGCCCATCCAGATAATCCTGGAGGCGGTATACCAGGAACCTGTTGAGTTTCTCCTCGGGCTTGCCGGGAAACTGGCGCGAGAGCTCCGCGGCCATCTCCTCCGGACTCTTCTGCGACGTGTTGTTCTCCTTGATGATGCTTAATCCAGGCAGCAGCTGCAGCTCATCGCGAGAGCTCAGGTCCTCCAAGAATGAGAGAACGTGAACTTTCAGACACTTAGCGCTGAGGCCGCCGTTGCATTCCTTGTTCAACGACCTCCCCGCCCTCTCCGTTGTGTTTTCAGGCTTGGCCTCCTCCACCGAGTTAGATAAGGATCCATCGATCGATCCCTCGGAGTGGTACACACTGAACACTAAGGCAACGGCGAAAGCTGCGTACACACTGTTCGACATTTTGAAGGTATATCACGACACGCACTGTTGTTCAATTGTGGTTCTGGAGCATTTCGCTCGGCGATCGCTATTGACTGATACTGATGGAAGGCAAGAATTTGTTATATACCCCGAGTTGATTGTAAAAAGCGAACAACAGCTGCTGCTCGGGACTGTTAAAAAGAGCAAAAATGGAACTAAACAGCGTTGCTGGAGCGAGTCGGCCCGCGGCGCCGTCGAATGTCGATAATGAAAAAGTCGAATTTCACTCGAACAAATACATCGGTCACGACGAAAGTGTTTCTAAAGATGGAATTTAATTAGCCATCAGTTTTACTCTCGTCTGCGATTCGATTTTACCAAATTGTTCATTAAAGTCGATTCTCAAATTTCAAATTACTTAATGCGTGTTACACGATTAGCTCTTCAGGTAACTCTAATAATTACTCTTTTTTATAGTTTCGTAACAAAGGGTAAAACGGGACCCTATTACTAAGACTACGATGTCTATCTGACCCTCTGTCATCAGACTGTATCTCATGAACCGTGTTAGTTACACAATAGAAATTTTCATAGATGATGTATTTCAGTTGCCGCTATAGTAACAAATACTAAAAACAGAATAAAAAAATATTTAAGTGGGGCGGAATAAATAATGGTACGGAACCCTAAGTGCGCGAGTCCGACTCGCATTTGACCGGTTTTTTCAACTCTACAGGAAACCAAACACGTAGCCTCTGATGATAAATCTAACGTTCCGTCACTAAGCACAACACTTGAATAGTACGTTAGCCGAGAAAATGACTTAGTAGCTATTAATTCAGACTGTAGGTAGTGATGTCCTCGTGGCAGGGGTGTTGAGATTACGGGTTCGATATTCATTAATGTGTTTTGACGAATCTCCAGTATTTCACCTGGTTGTCTAGAAAAATTGTACGGTTGTACGTGAGTGAAGAGCTGACCACTTCTAATGTTCCGGACTTATTGAATTCAATCAAAAGATTTTAACTGTGGTAGGGTCACGGCCCACGCAGCAGCCGCGGCAGTTGCACGAATGGGCAGGCTCGTCCGGGTAAGTATCACGACCTCACAGAAGACCAGCGTGAAGTGGAAGTATAGTACTTTCGCGTTTCGTCTGGTGAGTGAGGTAGCCGGAGACCAATTTCCAAAAGTAGTATATGTCCATGGGCGGTGGAACTCATTTAGCATCAGGTGAACCGCCTGCTCGCTTGGCAACTTTTCACATAAAAAAGATATGACGGTCAAATAGATTAAACTATTAATACAATACAGCCCAAAACTTATGCTTTCGCATATATTTTGAACACTAAATGCTTTCAAATATATCATAATAAAAATTACATGGATATATATAATTGTGAGCGAAACATTTTGTACCAGTAAACAACAATTTTATAGCGCGCATTGATGTCTAGAGTGTCTTAACTTGGACCATCGGCTAAAGCATTTCTTATCTTACCTATCCGTAAGTTACAAGTAAAACACAAAAGTATACTCGTATAAATATAAACTAATACGTAATTTTATCAAATGTAGTAACGATTGGTAAAACTGAAAAATTGCGTACCAGTTGGAACGGCAGTAAAACGTACCAACGAGTTACAATAAAGATTCTTGACTTTTCTATAAATTCATGCATATTTTAAATGATATTTATCAATTATTAGTTTTAGGTAGTTGAAAAACATCACATCCAACTAATGTTTCTATCAATTCTTATATATAAGGCTTGATGATTTCTTAACATCACTTTAAGTGTAAGCTTTTCGTCATTTCAAAATGAATATGTGTATAATATGTGAGTCAGATTTTCACATTTTTTCCTAAAAAAGTATTCGTGCAGAACCCTATGCTATGGATCGACGTACTTTCTCTGTCCATTAAAGAAAAAAAAGAATGACGCAGATATCACTGCGGCGAAGAATGAAAGTTGGCGCCCTTTTTTACCTTTAACAGATTGTTTTTTTAATGAAATATTTAAGAGTTGGGTTGAGAATTTTATGATACCATTCGTAAATTAATACATTCCTGATATAATTTTGTGCTAAATAGTAACCTGCTATGGTCCTTAAATTATTTTTCTCATTAACAGATTCAATTGATCTATGTTATGAACCCTAGTGTTTTGTAGCGATACAATTTAGTACATAAAATCTTCAAATTTATATTTATAAATTGAAGCTTTTATGTACTAAGTATTTACTTATCCTAATCGAAAGATGCTATTAAGGCTGATTAGATTGTTTTATTACTAGGTAATTTATAAATATTGGGGTTTAAATTAAAGTAATGACATTTTTATTTAAACATTTAATCATTGAGTTAAACATTTAGTGCTTATAGTGTAATATATACATATATTAAAACAGATGTATCACATATCGAGTACAATATATTATAAAAGTAACTTATATAAAAAACCCTAATACACATTTACATAACAATGAAATCATAAAATATATTATTATAAATTATTTACTACAGAACAACATAAAATGTTAATATTACACAAAAATAAAGTCAAGAGAAAGTAAATACATAAAAAAGCAACAAAATTAATAACGCATACTTCAAAATACCTTTTATTAGATAGGGTAAATGAAAATTTTAAAAAAAATGTGACGCCTTAACTAACAATAAATAAGTTAAATAATTTAATAACAACTTAATCGTTTGTACTAAATTGTATATAAAACATAAAAATGCAGCACCAGTTCCTATTTCTACCATCTCTACCCACTAACACAAAAACATTCAATAAAATATTCATTTTTAGATAATCAAGTAAAGCAGACTCTATTCATTTAACGTTAATAATAAATAGACATTGAATATTCACAGCTTTGATAACAGACCATTCTTCTTCGTTCATTTGTTGAAACTGTTTTCAGCCTTGACTAATGCTTAGCGTCTCCTAGCCTTCAGACTCCTGCCATACCCTGAATGCCCGTAGCCCCCCACATCTTCGTGGGCGGTGGAGTGAGAGTGAGAGTGGGTGTACACCGGCTTCGAGACGATCTCGTACGTCGTAGATTTTTGCCCTCCGGACAGAGACTTGAGCCCGACGATGGCCGACAGCAGTAGCGACATCAAGGCTGTCATCAATGCCTTACCAGCCAACAAAGCGAGTCCACCCATTCCCATGGAAAGCATAGTTCCTGTGAAAAGAAAAGCGCAAGTGAGCATTTCTTTAATTCTCTTCTTGACGACCCCATTGGTGTTTTTGAAAGTGACCCTAACAACCCTATTGGCATAGTTGATAATGACCCTTTATTTCACCACAGGGTGTGGGCTCGATCCCCAATACTGGAAAAATGTTGTGTGATGAACATAATGTTTTGCTAGTATCACGGTGTTTATATATGTATAATATGTATTTATTTACAAAAGAAAAGTATGATTAAGTACGTTTATCAGTTTTCTAGTACCCATAGTACACGCTGGGCTTATTTTGGGACTAGAAATCGACTCGAAATATGTATTTATTTATATCTTATCTCGTATAAAACACGGCATCTCAAAGACAACCAGTCCGATTCATAAGATGAATTTAAGTTATACTTCCATATATTATTTCTCAATAGTGTTTACCTTATACCTCAAGTCATTAAAGAATAATCATAAATTATTCAAGAACGTATGATAATGCCATCTATTGAAGGTGTGTGTAACTAAAAGATATCAAAGCATACTGAAAAACGGTGTCCTTCAAATAATATATCTTTCATTGATAAGTAATTGACACAAAATTATATAACCATACAGTGACTGATTAACTGAGTAAATTTCGCATGGGTTAACTGGTTAATACATAAATTATACGTTGTCTGCAAAATTACAAAATTATTCGATTTCATTGCTAAAGGTTGGGCGGAAATTATGTAATCCACGCGATCACAGCCCTAGGTGAATCTCCTATATACGAAAATTACGTGTGTAGGTACTGTGGAATACATCCTACATAAATTGTACATGAATTCAGAGCAATTCGGACCGTTATAAAGTATGGCTAGATTTCACCACACATCAGTTTTATATTTATTAAATGCCAGTGTTTCCATGACCTACTCAAATCTGGTAGCAGCTGAAATCTTTTTCACGATAAAACAACAACCGAAAAATAAGAGGCTATCTTATTTCGTCATTTAAGCAAAGTGCATTATAATATTGATCTTTATAGCTGACACTACTAAGGTTCGTTTTTAAACGTACTAAATGAAACTGTTCAGTCTGTTGTACAGGTCAGGCAAAAATGTATTATAAATATTTGTAGAATCCTACAAATATTTATAATACTTTTTTTGATAAAAGAAACTAATTAACGATATATCTTTTTTTATCAAAATAGTTTAAATATTATCTCAACATTTTATTCATGGGTTTTCATGGAGAATAATATTATTCACAATATTTTATACTGTATGCATGAAACGAAAAAATATATAGTAGAGTGTAAAAGTATACTTGGACAACATTATTTTAGGAATGATATACAACATTGTAGAGATTATCTCTACAATTTTGCAGTAGAAAGCAATGCAGTTAGTTAATAGCTACCAGATAAAATGTGTAGTCATTAATTACTAGACCATAACTACCTCTTAACTCTACAATTAATAATATACTGCTGTAATCCACACCATATCAATCGTTGGTAAATGTCTAAATAGTGATTTAAAATACTTTACTTACACAGAAAGTTAAGTATAATATTTTTAATCCTACTTCATTGGTAATGAATTCATATTCATTTCCGCTCTCTGTGATACGCAAGCATCGCCTTCTTGATTACAGAAGATTTGGCAGATCTTATATTACTACGGACACCTATTTATAGAAATTCGTAAAAAGTGTATGTATGCGTATATGTAATTATGGATAAAGTGTTCACCATTCTTGGCTAAATACAATGTTCTATCCATACTAATATTATAAATGCGAAAGTAACTCTGTCAGTCTATCAGTCTCTTTCACGCCAATACTACTGAACTGATTTAAATGTTATTTGGTACACAGATATTCTAGAGCCTGAGAAAGGACATATTTTTTTAACTGGAAAAAAAGTGTTGTGAAGGGTGTAAAATATCTTATTAATGTAAAACTTTAAATGTATCTGGAGATTTCATCTGGCTAATAAAAATAAAGCCACAATGCAAAAACTAAACTTCTATCCTTTTTTCCGGTGCTCCCTAATTATTTATTTTCTTAGTTTTTCTTCAAAAGTGAACCTACTAAAAACGATACTGTAATATCCAATAATGAAATGAGATAAAATAGTATTTTTAGATTAATCGAGATTTTACTACGCAAGCTTAGTGTGGACGATGATATCTGTATGCAACGCGAGACAAGAATTCGTATTCTTTACTTTTTACTGTTGTACTCATTGAACAGACAAAAAAATATTTCACCAATAAATTTAATCGAACGTAAAACCAACTTCTTTTGACCTTTTGACCCTGTCCAAATCGTGGCAGGGATAGCATCGCACCATTGAACTTGGACAATTATTTACGGTCGAACGGAAACACGAAACCGCACGCTACTAGAGTTCGAACCAGAAAATCCAGAGCGTAAGTCCGTCGTTGTAACCACTAGAGCATCAAAACCTTGCGTATAAAACAGGCGTTTCACCGGACGCTTAGTAATAATATTTAGGTTCCAATTATTGTCAACCTATTAAACATCGCCCAGGGTACCTCACTTGCCTGATTAAATCTTAAAGTATGAATAGTTTTTGTTTTATTCTAACTTGTTTTATTCTACTTCAAGCAGGTTTTTTCCCAGTCCGTATTGAGACCTACCTAGCCGAAACCACTACAACAGCACATACTATTGCAGCAAACGGGCTTTACCAAGCTCCACCACTTTACTCCTTCATCAGCACCAATATCAGATCTCTTCTGTTGTACTAAAGCTCGAGCCATTAAAACGCTTTTTCTTGTTTTAATAATAAAACATTAAAGGCAAAGTTATTTATCATGTACTACCACGTCAGAATAGACTGCAAATGGACTTCCCGCCACAAAAGTTAATGGCAGCTTGTCGCGTTGCGGTAAAAAAAACCACAGCCCTACTGTCAATGGACTCTTCAAGCGGTATAAATAAAAACGTATGTCGTATTCTCTATAATTTTAATGCTCTGATTCGGTCATCATTGACTGGCAACATTGCGACGGTTTCGATGTGTTATTACTTTTTCTGTCACGTCAATGGAAAATGAAATAATTATTTCTGGCATGCAATTTGAACAGCTTTTAAAACAAGTGTTCATTCATTTATTTTTGAAAATCTTTTCGAACACGTTTGAAAATAGATACCTGATTAGTATGTACCAAAGAAAGTTAAAGAAGCTGGTAAAGATGGTTAATTAATATATTGTACTATAATTATTACGATTGAGAGACATGAACAAATGAGTTAAGAAATTTAATTGTATATAGTATAAAACTTTGTCTGTTCAACAAAATTTTAGTAATTTTTTCATAAAAATTTTAGAACTTATTTGCAAATATAGACGTGATAAGTAACATACAGTGCCTCTGCACTCTCTAGTTGTGCTTGTAAAGATGGTCAATTCAGTGTGCAGTTTAATATGTTGCACTAGAAGCATAAAGATTAAGATTAAGAGAGAAATTTTCAATGTACTCAATAGATTTATTTTGATATACGATGCTTGGACTAATCAACTTGGAGTAATTAGTTGTAAACATCGTTAATTACAGTTTTTGAAGTTATACTTATTTTTGGTGCGTTTGGAAAAATTATGAGAGTAAAATTTTTACAATGCGCTTGCACACCAACCTTCAAAAAGGGACATGAACATATGACCAATAATTTCACGTTATTTAAATAAACCGTTATCAATTGCATTTAATGCCTTTAGGCTAAAGAAGTGTAACTTCTTACGTGCGTAAATAGTGCACACATTTTATTTATATTTTGAATCTTTAGATGATTTATTTAATATTAAATATATAACAATATCTAATGCAACAAATGTAATCATTTAAATAGTAACATACACATTATAACAAAGACGATGTTTGTGATTAAAAGTATTAATGTAGTTTAAAATAATATTTATATCATTTATATACATGTATATGATAGATGTATTTTTATATATACTTGTATGTAATTATAGGTTAGGTACGAAATTATTTACACATTTATTTTTCTATTATAATTACATTTTTTTTTCAATTGTTTCTGGCTTTTAGTGCCAATTTACACTTCTCTTTAAAAGTTGACTTTTCATTAAAAAGTCATACACAATAATTTTTTGCCATATTTGGCGTGGAGAAGTTTTTAAATAGATCTCTATGATACTTCATTACTAATTCTTTATTATTAACGGCTTTCTGCTATAGGAATTTAAAATGTAAATTTTCGAAAATTTGTTATTATTATTTTCGAAAAATTGTATATATTATTAGTAAAAGTTCGATCGTTTCGTAAAACTGACGTATGTTTTTAAAATATAGTGCCTCTTATCATAGTATATTACGAGACGACTATCCTAGTCTTTATGGTTCTATTACTTTAACCACTTTGTTTCACGCTGTACGATCGCTCCAACTGATATAAAGCGGGGTACAAAATTAAAAGTAAGTTAAGGCTGAGTTCTTGTGTTCCTTTTGTCTTATAGCGTTAAAAAGTGCTGCGTCGTTTAATCTTTTCGGCGTTCCATATAAATGAACATATAGATAGAAATATAAGGAAATATTTTGGAAGGCTTTGTTGTCAAATGGGGTACATAAAGTCCCATGCACAGTTATTTTTATTGTGTCTTATTCATGTTGATATATGAGAATAGAAATCTGAAATATATTCTTAATACTTTTTGTTTTATTAATATATCTTTTTGAACATTATTGTATTATTTAATTTTGCTTTAGATTTAGATTTTTCATCACGTTTAAAAAATCACATATGCTCATTGTTTAAAGAAAGTTATAGCTCTTCTATCTTCATATGTCTTTAATATTTACAAGAGACAGAAACAAAAATGTACCAAATATTCAATTTGAATCACTTCACTATTTATATACGTGCAAAATATGTACGTAAAAATTATGAAAATCTTAATAACGGAAAGCTAAAATAGTAAATATTATATGAACGAGGCTATCTCTATTTCGCGGCACAATCTTAAAGTAATTGAATATTAATCATGACTTCGAGTGTATCAAAGTTGAATTTATTTAAAAACAGCTTTAACTTTAACTAACCTTTCATCATCAGAGCGGCCGCCAGGAGTCCCCCCATGCCACCCTTCTTGCCACCGCCGAGCCCGCCCTTGCCCCTCGCCTCTCCCATCAGAGCGCGGGCCTCCTCCGTGGTGCTGTCGTCCAAAAGCCTCAGCTTCACCGAGTGCGTGTCCAGATAGTTGCCCAGCCTGTACAGCAGGTACTTGTCCAGCCGCTCGTCCGGCTTCGACGGCAGCGCGCGCGCCAGCTCCGCCGCAAACTCCTCGGCCTTGCTCGCGTTCTCCTTCAACTCCTCCTTGACCACACTCACGCCGGGCAGCAGCTGGATCTCCTCCTTCGCGGACAGCTTCTCCAGGATGGATATCGCCTCGATCTTGAGACATGTCGCGCTGAATATGCCGCCGGAGCAATCCTTTCCAAGGTTCCTGGCGGCCTCCACTGGCTCCATGTTCGCTGGCCCTTCCCGCGACTCGGGGTTGGGCAGTGCCAGGGTGGTGCTGGCAGCGAGCAAACAAAAGACGATCGTGCCGTACATTTCTCCTTTGCTGTGACACCCGCGTCTGTATGTAAACGAAGACGGCAACAATTTGATAAGGCGAGTGGACCGTTCGGCTTTTATATGTCTCACATAGTTGGATGATTAGTACTGTGTACTCCGGCTCCATTATATTTTCATAGAAGGCTGATTGCAAAAAGTCGCGGTGAGTACGCCAAACTATCCTTTCTAATGTCGTGTTAAGGAATGTTCTCGCTTGCAGCCTCTGTTTTAGGTTTTGGTTTATTATCGTACGCAGTCAGTGGAGTAGAGGGAACAGATGATGTACATTTTTTTATAAATAAAATAAAAACAACTTTTTTTTGGGATTATAATGTGATAATTTTGCGACCAAAATTTACAACTTAATAATTTAGTATTTAAAAATAACACGAAGTTAAAAATCTGTTCAAATACTGCATTGTGTAATTCTGTTCAATTGTATAGTAATGATTTTCTTTATTTCCTAAAAGCTTTATGTCGACGCTATAAAATATAACAAAATCAGGTTGAAATTAAAGAATGTTACTTGTAATATAAATCTTAGGTAGAAAACATTAAAGTCTTTTTCACAATATGCATGTCGATAGTTGCCGTGTTCGTTTGTAATAAATCCAATGAAACTGTATTCTTTCGTGAATCATTTCTTTTATATTTGTTAAAGACCTTTCAATAACACTATACTATATTCAATAATAATTTAATATTTAAACAATACTTTTCATTTAATATTCAAAAAATAAGATATAAAACATACGAAAAAAAAATGTTTTCTAATATTATATATTACACGATTATAAAATAATTTATTATATGTTTTCATTTTCTACAGATTTTAATTAATACATCATTTTTAAAAAAGTAAAATTGCAATTTTACTTGCTGACTTATTACGCTCAACGCTGAAGGTGCTTATTTCGAAATAGTAATAAAAATATTTTAATTCACGGTGGGGCCGCGCGTTGTGAACTATTCCTTAATACCTCCTGTAGAGGAGGCGTCTAAATAAAATACCATAATACTAACCTGATCAATTGACTACTATTCGTTGCCCAGTTTTCGAAATTCGACCATAATTAATTATACATGGTAGTGTGTGTAATTATTTTTATTGATCTAATGCATTTTTTATCTATAATTAAAAAAATAGCACTGCACTCCTTCTCTATATAAACTATAAGTGTTGGAAATTTCATACTCGTCCGTCCGCGCAATTTTCGTGGGTACAAAGTGTTTGCTTCACGCATTATTATATAGATAAATTAAGTTTCTCACCCGAACTTAATGTTTTTCATATCGTGCGTTCATAAATGCGTGTCTTCCTTAATGTTTGGGAAATCGATATATCGAATAAGTAAGCAAATAAATAGCCCTTACTGTCTAGATAAGTTTTGTTTGTTAATCGGATGGAAATATTTTAACCTTCGCTCAAGTCCAGTTTGGAATTGCGGTGACTTTTTGAACGAAATTGATTTTCATCTTAAATCAGCTCTAGAAAAAATTAATAGCTTAATGAATTAAGCTGGACTCAAGCTATGCTAAGCTGCCAATTCCTTTTGGTGGTATCGATGTAAGGAAAATTTCTAGTGTCGCTTTACTTGCCTTCCTTGCTTCCGTGCATAGCGTGAATAATTTATGTATTATCACAATTCAGAACTTTCCTATGCCGAGGAGGCAAGGATGTCTTGGTTGTCTATCTGCTCCAACGATATATATATATGGAAGTAAACCTACAGAAACAGTGCGGAGAGTACAGAAAGATACGTTTCAATCTTTAGAAAGTAATTTAGAGCGCATCCGTTTCCTAGGCGTCTCATCTAAAGGATCGAGTTATTGGCTTCACGCTTTACCATCAAATAACTTGGGCACATTACTTGACGATGAAAGCTTACGCATTGCTGTAGAAATCCGTCTGGGGGCACCAATTTGTCAACCACAAAAATGCCCTTGTGGTGTGAGCTTTCTTGTCAAAATAGTGCTGGCCGCTTTACCCGTCACGATTCCCTGAACGACATCATCCGTAGGCTTGTTTCCATCAATGTTCCATCTATTTTAGAGCCCTGTGGCTGTAGAGGTTTTCGCGACGATGCGATGGTAAGAAACCCGACGGTACAACTCTGATCCTTCGGGAGAGAGGCAATGTCCTTGTTTGGGACGCCGCTTGTGTAGACACTGACTGCCTCTCATCTAAGGGGTACTTCTGTCAGGGCCGGGGAGGAATCGGAGGCAGCTGAAGTAAGTAAATGGCCCAAATATTTAGATTATGTATTTTTGCCATTTGCTGTTTAGAAACTTTAGGTCCGTAGCGTCCCCGCAAAATTACATTATATATGTATATTGCAACAATATTTTTTACAAGTTTAAGTCCTAGGTTTAATGTCGCGGCTGGTGACAAGAGAGCTGGTTCTTTTCTCGCTCAAAGGTTAAGCATAACTATTCAGCGAGGAAATGCAGCTAGCGATCTTGACACCATGCCGCGTGGATTACGTTTATTAGATAACTAGCTGCTGCCCGCGACTACGTCTGCGTAGAATAGGCTGAAGGTAACATTCAGACAGAAAGACAAATATACACATATATATAAATTATAGCCTATGTCTTATTCTGATATATTAGCTGTATTATTGTAAAGTTTCATTAAAATCCATTTAGTAGAATTTGCGTAAAAGAGTAACAAACATCCATCCATACATACAAACTTTCGCATTTATATTATTAGTAAGGTGTAATTTTAGATAGATTTAATATTGTAAATATTAGATCAATTTGTACAAAACACTTTATATACATATTTTAAACTAATATAGGTATGTTTAAAAGTAAAAAGTAAGTAACAGCCTATAAATGTCCCACTGCTGGGCAAAGGCTTCCTCTGTACAGAAGGTATCAAACAACATTTTTAAATATGACGGTCAGTTTGACATTATTACCTCAAAACATTTGAAGTTTGACAATAAAAACTGTCGTGTCATAATTAGGGCCCAGAAAGCGAGAAGACGTTTTACTGTAATAGCTGCCTTTCTCGAGCAACACAAATAACTTTGACGGTTTTAAAAATGGCGTATACAATTTGTAATTGTCGGTAGTTTAAGCGTATGACGTGATTTCTACATAGTCAATATTGCGAAGTTTTATTAGTCTTTAATGTAACATCGGATATATATATGAATCTAGTTAAAGTTTGCAGATAAAAGCGTGATTTCGTTCGTCTGGTGAGTGAGGTGGCCAGAGCCCAATTTTTAAAAGGTTGTCAACGCATCTGCAACTCTCGTGTGTAGCAGATGTCCATGGGCGGTGGTATTCACTTAACACCAGGTGAACCGCCTGCTCTTTGGCAACTTGTCTCATAAATAAAAACCAAAGAAAAGCTGTACATTGTTCGTCTAGGATAAAGGTTTTTAGGGTTCCGTACCCAAAGGGTATAACGGGACCCTATGACTACGACTCCGCTTATTGTCTGTCTGTCTGCCTGTCCGTCACCAGGCTGTATCTCAAGTACCTACCGTGAAAGTTCGACTGTTGAAATTTTCAAATATGACGTATTTCTGTTGCCGCTATAATAAAAAATCGTAAAAAAACAGAATAAAAATATCTAAGCGGGGCTCCCATACAATAGACATGATTTTATGCCGTTTTTATAGAGTATGGAACGTTCGTGTGCGAGTCCGAGAGTTCGAGTGCGTTTTTGTGCAAAGTTGGTAAGCGAACCCATGGACTCCCATACATCTACATTAACTGAGATGATTTATGCCGTTTTATATAGAGTACGGAAAGTGTGATACCTTCGTGTGCTAATATCCTATTAGCCAGTAGTACTCCTGAGGCTCCCCAATTGTGCAATAGCAGAAGTTGCTGCATGGCCCTTCCACAGTATAAACGTGTACTTAGCTAGGGGTATGTAATAAACAGAATTTATCATCCTCATAATTTCAGCAAATTTCAGTCCGATGCTGACAATAGACCCCCCTACAGACTGCCATTAAGCACGATCCTGAAACACCCACATTCATCGACTTTCATTCCATGTAGTGGGGGCTCGTTCTACACCACAATGACCATAATATACTGCCGTTTGATAATGTTTCTTACTCATCGGTTAGCGGTTCTACGACCTGTATGTGCGGCCCATCGCCACTTCAGCTTACTAATCTTCTGAGCTATGTCAGATATCTTTGTTCTACTGTGGATATTTTTGGTGTGAACTCTATCACGCATAGAAATTCCGAGCATGGCTCGCTCCACAGCTCACCGAGAATCTTTGAGCTTCCTCAGACGACCAGACTGGATTCGTCCATTACAGTCCATTACAGTTCAAATCTCTGTATCTCTCTCATCAGAGGATGTCAGTTATAGACTGCAGCCGCATCTCACGTTTTATTTTTATTAAGTATTATTTTTATATGAATGAATGAATGAATCAATTAAATATACTTTATTGTACACCACAACTGATAATGAATATTCATTAATCAAGCATACACATTGGTGTAATAGGCGGACTTATCGCTAGAAAGCGATTTCTTCCAGGCAACCTAGAAAAAGGAGATATTAAAAACAGTAGTTGTTTTTTAGCTGTTTTTGTTATTTAAGCACAGTGTCTGGGGTCGTGGGTTCGATTCCCAGACGCGACAAGTATATGTGTGATTTACAGATAATTATCCCGAATCTGGGGGGTTTTTTCCCAAGGAGGGATGTGGCCAGGCAGGCGGCTGGTCGTAAAAAAACCTAGCCAAAACCGCTTACATCTGTATTCATGTATTGTGCCGACCATACCTGGGTGGGATACGGGCAGGAGGATGATAATTCGGTTCGGTTTACCTCCATTGTAAGCCCATATTATTTTCTTTGGTGCTAGTCTTTTATTTTATTTTATGCGAAAAGTTGTCAAACGAGCAGACGGTTCACCTGATGTTAAGTGAATACCGCCGCCCATGGACATCTGCCACACCCGAGGGTTATGGATGCGTTGACAACCTTTTGAAAATTGGGCTCCGGCTACC